GTATTGGTCTCCCACAGTGCACAGAATATGGAAATATTATTATTTTAGTAAATATAAACTGCAAAATACCTTTTCTCATCAGCAGTTTAGAGCATGTCTTGTGACTTCTATCCCCATGTCCAGCAGAGCACTGGTTAAAAGCTTGTAGGAGTTTGCACCCTCCCAAGAGAATAAAAAAACCTCTCTAGCAATACACACCAAACTGAGCTTGTGCAGCTTTCCCCCAAAGGGTTTTCTTTTTTAAATCAGGAGAGGATTGTGGACAGTAGAAAGGGGGAGGATCAGAGAAAGCCAAGATCAAACAGCTTTTTTTATACAATGCGGAGGATTAACCCCATTAGGTTCCAAAATGAGTATAAAAATGCATGCTTTGCTGCATATACAGACTGATCTTACTGTTGTGGGTTTAGTAACACTTTAATACATTAGACCAAATTGTACTGTATGTGGGTGGGGGTGGTATATTGCACAAAGTATATATTACAGGGGGTACATATGTACAACAGGGTGGGGATGGCTCGGGAAATCCGTAGATTTACGATAAAAAGCTATGCTTTCTGGAACCCTACTGGATCCAATGTTTAGAATAATCTTATCCTTATTAACCACTTGCCTTCCAGGCACTTATACGCCCCTTCTTACCAGGCCAATTTTCAGCTTTCAGCGCTGCCGCACTTTCTGATTGACAATTGCGCGGTCATTGCCAAACATTGTACCCATATGAAATTTTGATAATTTTTTTTCTCACAAATAGAGCTTTCTTTTGGTGGTATTTAATCGCCACTGGGCGCTTTATTTTTTGCGCTCATTAAATTAAAAAAAGTGCAAAAAAAATTGAAAAAAAATAAAAAGTTTTATTTGTTTCTTTTATAAAATTTTTCAAACAGGTATTTTTTCTCCTTCACTGATTTGCGTTGATGAGGCGGCACTGAGGGATTGGGCACTGATAGGCGGCACTGATGGGCCACTGATAGGCAGCACTAAAGGGCACTGATAGGCAGTACTAATGAGGTGGCACGGATAGGCGGCACTGATAGACAGCACTAATTAGGGGTCACGGATAGGCGGCACTGATATGCAGCACTGATAGGCGGCACTGATAGGTGACACTGATGATGGGTAACTGATAGACGGCACTGACTGGCATCACTTCTGGGCACTGACTGGCGGCACTGACTGGCACAACCCCTGGGCACTGACTGGTGGCACTGACTGGCAGCACTGCTGGGTGCACTGGTGGGTGGCACTGGTGGGCAGCACTGGTGGGTGGCACAGGTGGGTGGCACTGTGGGCACAGGTGGGTGGCACTGGTGGGCACAGGTGGGTGGGCACAGGTGGGTGGCACTGCTGGGCACATGTAGGTGGCACTGTCTGGGCACAGGTAGGTGGCACTGCAGAGTGTGGCACAGGTGGGGGGCACTGCTGGGCACAGGTGGGGCACTGCTGGGCACAGGTTGGGGGCACTGCTGTGGGAACTGGGTGGGCTTGGGCTAGTGGGCGCACTGCAGGGCGGAACTTGCGGGAGAGTCACTGCTGGGCACCGATCATCAGGGCAACTGATCATCAGTGCCCTGATGATCGGTGCCGATCCCCGCTCTGACAAACTGCCCGGTTCTCGGCAGTACTTTCCTCACGATCTGACAGCGTGAGGAAAGTGCAGCCGAGAACCGGCACTTGCATTTCACCCTGTGATCACGTGTCATTGGACAACGCTGATCACGTGGGTATAAGGCCGGTGGGCTCGGCCTTTACCACATTCTCGTGATCAGCTGTGTTCCGTAGGACTCTGAGATCACGGAGATCGCCGGTGTGCGCGCCCCCTGGGTGCGCGAGGAGAGCGCGTTTGGGAGGACGTCATTTTGACGTCACTCAGAACTGGCCAGGCCGCGGTGATAGCCTGTCATTCGGCCCTTCTGCGCGGTCGGCAAGTGGTTAATTAGTAAAAGTAATAGTGCGAGTGATTCCGTGTTCTGAGTTGTGAAAGAATCGAGGGAGCTGTTCTTTGTTAACTTCTTCACAGTTTTCACTCGTGATTGCTGTGATTGGATTCTCAGCAATCACCATTTTTCAGGGGTCATTTCCCCATGGTCTTTTCTTTTTTTTCCCTAGTCTGCGTGTGTGTAACATCTGTACCCTGAAAAGCTGTTTTTACCCTACTAGTGGCCTACAGTGAAAACAGCAACTAATTAGGCCCAGAAACACGGGATGGTTTTAAGCCAGTCCCTCCCCAGTCCCCCACTTAGCTGTGCGGGGGGGGTGGAGCAATGCTGTCTTCTTCCCCCTTAAACTTTTTTTACCTAAACTTTTTCCCGAAACCTCTTAACCCAAATTCTTGATCAGGAGAAAAAACACTTGCAATCGAAGGCCCTTAAAATTCTTTTGCTGGTTTAAAGGTTGATCTCTATGCTTTTTGTCCCAACTTCATTTGCCTTTGAAGGGTGCCCCACAATATGCCCCGGGGGGAAGGAAGTTGTCAAACAAGCCCCCTTTTTCCCCTTTCTCTCTAAATTACAAACATGTGACGGACTTGTGCCCCCTGAGGGGACATGATCTCAGGGGGGCCCTCTTTAGTAATCTTTTTCCTGCTCTTGTTTTCCAATTTATCCAAATGATCCTTATTTAGGGTGGGGGCCCCCTTAAAAAAAAGGCCCTTTTCCCCTTCTTAGGCTGCTGCTCCCCTTCTTGCCATCTTCCTTTTTTTAAGCCCCCTTGACCCGCCCCCCCAATTACAATAAAGGGTTGTCAGTGGACGCTCCCATTGGTGAAAGGGACTCCCAAAAATTTTCCCCCCAGCTTTGGTGTTAGTGACTGAAAATAAATCCCCGGGTTTGGGCTTCAGGGACTGTAATAATAACCCCCAAGTTTTGGGGGTTAGTGACTGCAATTTTAACCCCTTTTTTTGGTACCAGTTAATGCAAAATTTTCCACCGGGCTTGGTGTCAGTGACTGAAAAATAAATCCCCATTTTTGGGTTTATCGGGGAAATGAAATTATAACCCCGTATTGGTTTTAGTGACTGAAATTTTACCGTTTGCTTGGTTACCGTTATGGGGGGAAAAAATCCACCAGCTTTGGGGGTTTTAAATTTGCGCAATATAAAGTCTCTTTTATTGCTGTCTTTTGGCCCAAACACAAATAGCCCCGGGGAAAATAAAGTAGTTATGCTTTTTAACCCCATATGTTTTTAACCCCCCATGCTGTATTAATGGTTAGCCCAACCCCAAAACCACCCCCCTTTCACCAGGGGCCCTTTGGCAGTCTGGGGATGGGGTTGCCACCCTCACCCTTTTTAAAAACCAAACACAAAAAAGAACAGGTTCCTAGGCTAAATAATGCAGTTAAAGCTCAAAGTGATTTTATTTTTATCACCTTTAAATCAGCCCAAAAACCCTGTGAATTTTAATGTGTTTTCGGTTTTAAAAAGGGAAATGGGGGGCCCAATTTTCTTTTCTGAAAACCATCTTTTAAATTTGGGGGTTTCAGGGGGTGGATTATTTAAACCCACAGTTTTTTATTTCCCAGCCAGGTTTCCACGCAGCTTTCCTTTTTGCTGACTTCGGGGTCAGCTTTACTTCACTCGCCTGTTGTGGCCTTATTTACGGTGTTGGGTGACGAGAATTCGGGAAAGTAGCCCCAGCCACTTGCACCCGCGTGCCAACTTCTGGCAAAGTGCCCAACAGATGGACAGACTCTGCTTCCAGGATGTGGCAGGATGCAGAGGGAGCCTTTCTGGCCTGTATGGTGTGGCACCAGCGATATAAATGGTTGTAGGGAAGAAATCTGTTTTTTTTTCTTTTTATTTGGATAGAGCTTGGAAAGTTTGGAAATTCTGTGTTTGTCTGTCCTGTGACTTCCCTTCAATTCCTGTGTGGTCTTTGAGACAGGAACATAGCAGATTCTTGCAAACAGGAGATATATTTAGCAATTGAAAAACATTTGCTTTTTAGTGGCGCAGGAAGGTGTTAGGAAAAAGAGATAAAAATGAAAACAAAAGGATTAAAAGAAAAATTTGTTGGTTGAGTTGATTTTCGTCCTGTATATACTGCATAATGTGCCTTGCTGCCATCTGGAGGGTAACAAAGCTGAAATCCATGGCAGCTACAAAGGAGAACCTATAGCGCTGACTTATGTAGTAATGTAAAAAAGGAGACAGTGCCGCAGCTTCTGTTTACTAGAGCGCGTACAGAACGTCTGGACACTGCCAATGCTTATATTTAGGGAAAAGAGCCATGCATGCACTCAGTAACTACTCGTTATCCAGTGCCAAAAATTGTTGCTTAGCTCCCTGCCTGAATCAGCAGCTTCCTAATTTGATATTACAGTATTCCTTTGATTCCCCCCTTCAGAGACTTCCCTGTAGTTACTAATCCATCCTAAAAAGCCCCGCCTCCACTGTTTTCCTTCCGAAAAAAAGCTTCTGGCACCTGCTGCTAAAAAAATGAAATGAAATATCTAAGCAGTAGACAACCTTTTGTAATGACTCCAGTTGGTAGAAGGAGCATGGAACTGTGCAGAAAGCTTTCTTATCGATCCTAAGAAATCTCAATAATCTCTCATACTTGTACCTTAATTAGCATTAGAAGTTGGGAAAGAGGGGCAGCATGGAAAGAGAAGATATGTCTGAGTTTACTTTAACCTCTTCGCGCCGGCGCCTTCCGGCCTTTAAGAGTTTCAGAAGCGGGAAGTGGGTGGGGTTTTAGGGTCACCGTGATTCGCCGTCACGGCGGTCACATGATCGGAAAAGGTCCCGATCGAAAGGGGAGATTGGGACCTTCTCCGTGTGTCATGGACATATGTGCTGGGAACGCACATGGCGTGCACTATCAGCACATATGTATTTTCTAATTGGCCCAGACACCGAGAGGCCACATATTTGCGTGCGCTTGGCGTCAAGGGGTTAAAAAAGAACTTCATTAATATAGTTGGGAACTCATTGGAAACCAGCAACTGTTGAGACAATAAACGCTTTGGTCAGGAGTATGTAATGTACAGTGGTAGGCACTTTATTATGTACAACACATGTAGAGAGTGCAATGGGCAGTAGTATGTGACATACAGTAGCTCTTCTTTTATTACTGGTCAGTAGCAGGTGGTTATCAGGAGGAAAAATTACCAGCTTTGGTGGTCAGCGTGTTAGCAGGTATAGTGCCCCTTTAAGTTAGGGAAAAGAAGAGAAAATTTTTGTTCAAAGATCACTGATTTTATTAACCTCTTGCCGACCGCGCATAGCCGAATGACGGCTTCACCCGCGGCCGGCCAGTTCTGAGTGGACGTCAATATGACGTCCTCCCAGAACGCGCTCTCCTGCGCGCCCCAGGGGGCGCGCACCCGGCGATCTCCGTGATCGCTGTGTCCTACGGACACAGCTGATCACGGGATGTGGTGGTGAAAGGCCGATCCCACCGGCCTTTTACCACGTGATCAGCGGTGTCCAATGACACGCTGATCACAGGGAAAGGCAAGTGCCGGTTCTCGGCTGCACTTTCCTCACGCTGTCAGATCGTGAGGAAAGTACTGCCGAGAACCGGCAGTTGTCAGAGCGAGGATCGGCACCGATCATCAGGGCACTGATGATGATCAGTGCCCTGATGATCGGTGCCCAGCAGTGACACCCGCAAGTTGCTTTGCGCCCACTAGCCCCGCCCACCCGTTCCCGAGCAGTGCCCCACCTGTGCCCAGCAGTGCCCCCACCTGTGCCCAGCAGTGCCCCCACCTGTGCCACTCTGCAGTGCCACCTACCTGTGCCCAGAAGTGCCACCTACATGTGCCCAGAAGTGTCACCCACCTGTGCCCACCCACCTGTGCCCACCAGTGCCACCCACCTGTGCCCACCAGTGCCACCCACCTGTGCCCACCCACCAGTGCTGCCCACCAGTGCCACCCACCAGTGCTGCCCAGCAGTGCTGCCAGTCAGTGCCTCCAGTTCAGTGCCCAGGGGTTGTGCCAGTCAGTGCCGCCAGTCAGTGCCCAGAAGTGATGCCAGTCAGTGCCGTCTATCAGTACCCATCATCAGTGTCACCTATCAGTGCCGCCTATCAGTGCTGCATATCAGTGCCCGCCTATCCATGACCCCCTAATTAGTGCTGTCTATCAGTGCCGCCTATCCGTGCCACCTCATTAGTACTGCCTATCAGTGCCCTTTAGTGCTGCCTATCAGTGCCCATCAGTGCCGCCTATCAGTGCCCATCAGTGCCGCCTCATCAACGCAAATCAGTGAAGGAGAAAAAATACCTGTTTGAAAAATTTTATAAAAGAAACAAATAAACTTTTTTTTTTTTTTCAAATTTTTTGCAATTTTTAATTTATAGCGCAAAAAGTAAAGCGCCCAGTGGCGATTAAATACCACCAAAAGAAAAGCTCTATTTGTGAGAAAAAAATGATCAAAATTTCATATGGGTACAATGTTGCATGACCGCGCAATTGTCAATCAAAGTGCGGCAGCGCTGAAAGCTGAAAATTGGCTTGGTAAGGAAGGGGTATAAGTGCCTGGTAGGCAAGTGGTTAAACATCAATTCAAAATATATCTCCCAAAGAGACTCTGGGGGATATCCACTAAAACTGGTGCACTCAGAATCTGGTGTAGCTGTAATGGTAGTCAATCAGCTTCTAACTTCAGCTTGTTCAATTAAGCCTTGGTAATAAAGCCCGGAAGCTGATTGGTTTCTGTGCAGAACTGCACCAGATTTTACACTCTCCGATTTTAGTAAATGACCCTCAGTGTGACATATCCAATCATAAAATATATAAAATTGCATGAATTCACAAAGAAAACATATCCTGATTATCAATCTATACATCAAATTCCTTCAGAACCGTATAAGGTAAGCTGAAACGAAGGTCTCGGTCAACACATTTCAGGAGATAACCTGCTTCTTTAGGACCTGTTGAGACCTCAACTTAATGCTGAATTACATAAAAATGAAGGATGAAGTGTGTCATACTGAAAATACACAACAAATCCATCAAAAGCAAAAACAGGAATAACATGAAATGAAATGAAACCAATAATGCTCTCCTCAGGAAAAAAGAAAAAAGAAGGACAAAAAAATGAAGAAAAAAAACTAAATATAATTAAATATAATATAAATATTTACCTTGCCTCTTGTGTCAATGCCACAAAAAAGCCCAGCTACAATATACAACACCCTGACGCGCCTCACCTGGCTTTTTTGTGGCATTGGCGCAGTAAAGGCAACTTGACCGTGCAGCTCATTTTTGAGGGGCATGCATTGATATGTTTGATGTGCTAATAATATATATATATTATTTACATGCAAAATAAATACTGCTGTTGTTAGCCTGTGAGGTGCAAAATCCTTTTTGGTGGTTTTTGTTTGTCATATATGGTTTTTGAATGCACCTCCCCGATGAAGGGTTAGGCACTGGCAGGTAACCATTCCCAGGACAAGGCATTTGCTGTGGGGTTTATATATACTTTCTGGGGTATATCTAGGCAGGACGTGGCTGCAGAAAACCATGTAACAAAGGATAGAAAAAAAAGGTGATAACATTGGGAGTTTTTAAAAAAACAGTGCATCTTAAATTCACCAAACAGACGAATCTTCCAGGTGCATGTATTTTGAATGACAGTAATTAAGTCATCATCCATGAATGTTTGCTAAGTCGCATTCACTGTGCACCCAAGTACTTTTTTAAATAGGCAATAGTTTATAAAATTCTGTGCTTTAGTAAACTAAATTTTATTTTGTTAGGATTTACATGTACTTTAGGTGATGAGTTTTCACTTTATGAAATTGTTCTTTCCCTGAAATCACTTATACTATCTTTATATTAACTTTTGGCAACCACATAAAGTGGTTTACATTACATTGTATAAATCATTCTGAAAACAAACATATGTTGCATTTTCATACAAAGTGGAGTTGGCTGCATCTTTTTCATATAAGTGAAATGTTATCATAAAAGTGACCTTTTGCCGCTGAACATATAAAGGGAAGTAGGGCTGCTGAGCATTAAACCTATGAAAATGGCCGCATTTATCACAGCAAAGGCTTTTTATTGATTCCATACTCTCTTTTATCTTTCATCCTGAATAGCTGGAAGTACATCTGCATGGTTAATCATTTCATGCTTTGTGCAGTGAACATTATGTGTTAATAATACAACCAGGATAACAGGCTACGACGCAGGGAATCTATACCTTCACTGTGCTGAGTTCACAGAAACTTGTTCAAAGGGGCTTGTTTTGTGTTTTCTGGAGTCAATAGTCATCAGGATTTGTATACTAACAGTTGTAAAGATTCATAACTGAAGGCTTGTCATTAAAGTTATGAATACAGAGTGAAATTGCTGCGTCATACAAAGATGTTTTCTTTTGCTATGATCTATATCTGGATAAACAGCATTTTGAGCACAAAAAATGTCGAAAAATGTTTTCAAAAAGAGTGCCAGCTACATAAACTTCACACACCAATTCAGACCATATTAGGGTCGAATTGTGAACGGATTTTCTTTTGAAAATCGTAACTAAGAATTTCGCACCATTAGTGGGCCACAGCATTGGACGATTTTCATGCGGCCATCAAATTTGAGTGATCGGACATGTTTTTTTTAGATGTCTTTCCACAAATATAAAGCAAGTGAAAAATAGGATTACCAAGAAAAATTATAGCCATAAGCTAAGTTGAAATCATTTTCAATACTTAGGATTCTCACTAGTTTTTTGTCTTCATTTGTGTCGGTTTTTGCTTCTCTTGGGCTTTTCTCTTGTATTCGAGGAAAGGAGGCTATCTCTTACAACTGCAACGTGACTACAGGTTTTTAATTTCTAATCAATGTTGAGAGAATCATGCTAGAAATATAATCAAAAAATAAATGAGCATGAACTGTGACCTGGAAAGAAAAAAAAAAAGAGAAGCCTCCCAGCCATGAAAATTTGTTTCTGTAACAACATAAGGTGAAAAAAGTTGAAGGCTTGTTTGGTCGAAATTTATAATTCAGGATTAATCATAATCTAAAAAGGTGGCACCATCAGATTACAAAACTGAAGAAAATTCGATCAAAATTAGACCCATGCGCAATATGGCCTGTATTAGTCACGAAAAGGAATGTTTATAAAGTAAATGCTGTAAATGACCAATTCCTGCACTTTTCACCTTTCTGATCACCTCAATTCCTGCACCATCACACCTCAGATCACCCCAATTCCTGCACCTTCACACCTCAGATCACCCTAATTTCTGCACCTTCATGCCTCAGATCAGCCCCAATTCCTGCATCATTACACCTCAAAGCACCCCAATTCCTGCATCATCACACCTCAAATCACCCCAATTCCTGCATCATCACACCTACAATGAGCCAAGTTCCTGTACCTTCACACCTCAGATCGCCCCATTTCCTGCACATTCACACCTCCGATGAGCCCAGTTCCTGCACCATCACAACCCAGCTCACTCAAATTTCTGCACCATCACACCTCAGATCAGCCCAGTTTCTGCACCATCACTTCTCAGATCAGCCCAATTTCCTGCACCTTCATACCTCAGATCAGTCCAATTCCTGCACCGTCACACCCCACATCAGCCCAATTCCTGCACCTTCACACACTAGATCAGCCCAATTCCTGCACCTTCACACCCCAGATCAGCCCAATTCCTGCACCTTCACACCTCAGATCAGCCCAATTCCTGCACCATCACACCTCAGATCAGCCCAAATCCTGCACCTTCATACCTCAGATCCGCCCAATTCCTGCACCTTTACACCCCAGATCAGCCCAATTCCTGCACCTTCACACCTCAGATCCGCCCAATTCCTGCACCTTTACACCCCAGATCAGCCCAATTCCTGCACTTTCACACCCCAGATCAGCACCTTCACACCTCAGATGAGCCCAGTTCCTGCACCATCACAAACCCAGCTCACTCCAATTCCTGCACCTTCACACCTCAGATCAGCCCAATTGCTGCACCTTCACACCCCAGATCAGCCCAATTCCTGCACCTTCACACCCCAGATCAGCCCAATTCCTGCACCTTTACTCTTCAGATCGGCCCAATTCCTGCACCTTCATACCCCAGATCAGCCCAATTCCTGCACCTTCACACCTCAGATCGGCCCAATTCCTGCACCTTCACACCTCAGATCAGCCCAATTCCTGCACCTTCACACCTCAGATCAGCCCAATTCCTGCACCTTTACACCCAAGATTAGCCCAATTCCTGCACCTGCAGACCTCAGATCCGCCCAATTCCTGCACCTTTACACCCCAGATCAGCCCAATTCCTGCACTTTCACACCCCAGATCAGCACCTTCACACCTCAGATGAGCCCAGTTCCTGCACCATCACAACCCAGCTCACTCCAATTCCTGCACCTTCGCACCTCAGATCAGCCCAATTCATGCACTTCACACCCCAGATCAGCCCAATTCCTGCACCTTCACACCCCAGATCAGCCCAATTCCTGCACCTTCACACCTCAGATCAGCCCAATTCCTGCACCTTCACACCTCAGATCAGCCCAATTCCTGCACCTTCACACCTCAGATCAGCCCAATTCCTGCACCTTTACACCCCAGATCCGCCCAATTCCTGCACCTTCACACCTCAGATTCGCTCAATTCCTACACCATTACACCACAGATCCGCCCCATTCCTGCACCTTCACACCTCAGATTCGCTCAATTCCTACACCATTACACCACAGATCCTCC